GACAGATTTCTGGAATATCCTGGTGTTATAGGTTAGGTTGGATAATGTATACAGTTTGAATTTCAATGGTGTGGAGTGGCGCTCTCCCCGTAGGTTATTGGCTCGTGACCGTTGCTCATCATGGGAAGTGAAAAAAAACAATTTCTGTAGTTTATCTGAGGACGTAAAAGAAGACTGTTTGGGGAAACTGCTATGCCAACACTGACTGCAAGCTGCTGTTTGCATGTTAATTATATTGAATGTATCACATTTCCAAATTCACAAGCCGATAAGATGAAGAGGATTTTCTTAGATATGCGAACCACATACAGACAGATAGGGATTTCTAGAATTAGTAGGTCGATCATATATCATATTTATGGGTTTTTTTCAAAACTTGGTTATTCAATCCTTTTTAGCACAACAGATTCCAACAGTCTGGTTGTAACTTCAAGGGATAGTTCACCGAAAAATGAAAATGTACTCATTATCTATTCACCACTATGCCGAGGGAGGGGTGGGTGTGTTTGAGTCCACAAAAGCATTGCATCATTTATACCATGTTTAGAGCCTGAATATCTTCTGATATCCTCCTCTAGCTATGCGTTCACATTTGCATGTACACACTGCACACAAGCTCTCGCTCCCGACGGACATGTGGCTAAAAATAAGTTTCAGGTCGAATTTGAATGTCGGGGCTTACTTCAATTGTATTCAATTGTCTATCTCTCTTCTCCAAAACGAATATCTGCCATCAGACAACAACTAAAAGTGTGTGTAGAGAAAAACTCAGTGTAGAGATCTACACTGACTGTGTTGTACTGTGAACAAAAGCTTAAATTCAAAAACCTCTCAGGTTCACTTGTCATGTTTCATCTAAAATGTCTTTGTATCAAAAACAACATGAACATTTCCAGCTGGTTCCATTTGTAAGCTCTCTTGTTCGAAACAAAAAGCTTCACCTGCACCACTCCCTGTGGAGCAGAACATGTGTCAGATCGGTGCAAAGCCGAAGGGAACACATTGAGACATTTGTAGAGGAGCTCTCACACAGCTTGTTGCAAAGGGTGCATTTAACAACACACATGCAAAACATAATGCAATGCTGTGCAACAGCCCTGCAGTCAATCTTACCTCTGTGAGGCTTTTTAAAACTGTGTCAAGGATTTATGCACAGCCCTGTTGGCAGGTTCTTGGCTGTAATTTGTGGTGAATGATTTCATTACATCTTAATATGTTTGTATAATTTTGTGCACCCAGGAGACATCAGTAATGCATCAATACACGGTCTTGAGAAACGTTGAACGTAATTTTCTCAGAATCATTGCATGGGCGGTTGCATCGGATTACATATTTTACCAGCGTTCATATGTCAGGCAGTTTAAGTCATGTCAGGTAAGAATAAACACAAACATATGTGTGACCTACATGGAGCCGCTCAGAGCAGCAAAACCTACAGAGAACTGTATGTTATATAACAGATATTTTACAGTGGGGCGGCCTGACATGACCAGAACAGTTTGGCCTGCTTTCCTCTGCTATATTATGTTACACAGAACATGAGTGCAATGAATCCACGTAGCTTTTGGCAGGATGCAATTTTCAAGTTATGTAGGTTCATAACAAGTTGTACTGTATCTCTGTGGGAGTTTCATGTGACCTACTTTTCAGTATGTGTAGTGTAAGTGAAATGAAAGTGCTTTACAGTGGAGGTTTCCCCCCATTTAATTTCAAGAGAGTTTTCTTTAAGTTTGAGAGCTGGACATAATTCTCATGTTCAACATTTTTAATTATCTCATTCAAAACCCTGCACTCACACTCAAGCCGTTTTCAGACGTGACCTGCGGGTAAAATCCGGAGAATTGGCTACAGACTTTGCCCAGAGTCTGCCTCTCACACATGCACATATGACTCGTTCACAACAGCATCAAATCCTCTGCATTATTCAGGCAAGAGGTGGAGCAGCCGGGTGCAGCAGACAGAGGCTCGAAGTGACGTATTAACTTCGCCAGGCAGAGAGAGTCCGCAGAGGCTGCAGAGCGTCTCACTCGGACGCCTGCGTTTACACACGCACCTCCTCTAGAGGAAATACAGACTGACTGTGGAGTTCAGTGCATGTCTGAAAGCAGCTTTTCAGTGAATTTTAGAACAGCTGTTAAGTACAGTCCTGCTGGAGGACCTCAGGCTATGATCAGGCTCATATGGGGTTGGCAGCAGATCGCAGATGAAGGAAGGAGCCAGACTGTTAAAAAAGTACTTTTTATTAATCGAGTCTGGACGAGATAAAAACATGGATGACAAAGTCTCTAAAGAAAGGAATGATCTAATTTTGGTCAGCTGTCTCAGTTGGGCAGGACTGCACCACTTTGGTCACTGCTCACCACTGGTCGGCCTCTCTACTGACATTTTCATGTGCTTACTCCAATTTTAACTTTTGAAAGAGCACATCTTCAGTAGTAGTACTTATATGTACTAATACCCCTACAGACACAGTCGCTCTGGCTGTGAATGGCCCTGTTAGATGTAGATGTACAATTTGTATGTTCACACTCCACCAGCAACAGATGCACAGAAAGACCTCCCCGCCAAAATCTGCAGCCACCGCATCCCTGGCATTTGATGTTACATAAGGATGTCACTGATCCAAGTACTGTATGTGCTTGTTCCCTGTTTAACTGTTGTGCACTTTCCCAGCAATGTTTCGTCTGTGGTTGGAAGCGGTGTCATGGTCTCTGATTCTTGTGGGCAACAGAGTGTGAGAATAAACGCCCAACGTACAGAAGTGTCCTTGTGCAAGACATGACTCAGGATTTGTGTTCTCACAGTAGGTTACTTTGTGCTGGATCCAAAATGCAGAATGATCCTCACATTATCACTAACATTGTGGTGTTAGAATTCAGAGAACTGCTGTAGAGTTTGAAACTATTGGTCCCATATTCTCACATTTTACTTTAAAATATGTTGTCTGTACAAGTTCCTTTAAGTTGAAGGGAATTTAAACTAGGGATAAACTAGAAAATCGTATTAAATGAATCTTGATTCCTTTTTAAAAACAAAACAAAATGGATCTTTGACTTGTACTACAGTTTGATTGATGGCTAGTTTTCTCATCTTTGAGGAGACAGGAAGCACCATCTGTGGAAAGAGCATACATGTGTGTTTACGAAAAGTAGCATATGCAGCATGGAAGGAGAGATGGTGGTTTCACAGAGGTAAAGTTAGAAGCGCCATATCTTTAATTACAGTGATTACAGTGGTGATTTGATCGGTTCTGTAACATCATGAGCTGCTAGTGCTCTGCTTTAGCTAGCAACGCAATGAGTTGTCGTGTTTTTATGTGCACATTATATTCACTTTTATACTTAAACCTGCCCTATCAGAAGTTTTAATTGTAAAACAAAAAGCTTCCTCAGAAACGAAAGCCTTCCTTCTTCAATGTTTATGTTGTACATTTGATACTGTTGGCATCTTTATTAATATTTATTTTTATTTTTTAAAGATAAAACCTTTTCAGCATATTTTCACAATGTCGTGATAATAACGAAAGCCATGATAATATTGGTCACTACAATCATGATACAAAACGTGACGTGGTTGTTTCACTATTAAATGTCCCTGGGAGGAGGTTGAGCAGGATCGTTTGGATCATTATAAAATTAAAAAAGGAAGCACAGTGTCTTTGAAGCATTTTATTCTGTGTGAGAGAACAATAATATTTTTGTCTTGGTGAGGAGGATCAGTGCTGCAGCAGTGATTGCCTGTGTGATGTGTGTGGCCCCTTCACATAGTCCTTGAGCTGATTTTGAGGAGGTTTTCAAAAACGAGACGTAACGAGAGCCTGCTGTTTATTTTTGCTCATGAACTTGCTGCCATCCTCCCAGCTAACCTGCCATATTCTACAGGTTTATAGTTCTGCAGCAAGCTGTGACGTCTGAGGTCAAACACACATCTGTATTTTTAGTAGACCGGAGCATCAGAGTAAATCTGGAGTTCGCTAAAGTCCTTGGTTTTCAGCCGAGCTCCGAGTCCATGAAGTGTAGCTCTGTTGGATTTATGAGACCTGTAAAACCGCCCTGTCGGAACAATGATTCAAGTTGGCTGGAGCTACCTGTTGTGTAATCTACTGTGTAACATTATGCAAGGTGAGCTGGGGGCTGATCAAAAGTAAAGCTCGCTGTGATAGTACTGTGTGTCTGGCCTCATCTGAGTGGGAGTGAACACTATTTAAAGGCTTTGTTTTTAACCGGCAGAGACAGCTAAGATCATAATTCAAATTTTTTTGTTGGTAGATTTTAACCCATGAAACAATTTGCTCACAGACCTTGATGAATTAATTATATCATTGTCTCGTAAAGAATTTTTGTTCTTTACCATAATTCCTGTACTTTCAGGTCTTCTTAAATACTGTTGATGTTGATTATGATATCTGTAATAATGATATTTGTGTTCTTGTGTGTAACTTTGACATATAAATAACGATCACGCCTCTTACACGTAACATAAAACTCTGCTATAAAACAAAAGAGGAACCGAACTTTGCTTTTTCCAAACCGCAGCTGAAAATGAAGGGCATGGCGGTGGCCTGTGGTTTCTGTTTACAATCGTTTCAGTCCAGCTCAGAGAAAAGCTTTGAGTAATGTGTGTGCAATTTTTCTGCCGCTGCTGAGAGCTGGGGCTTTAAAAGCATCTTAGAAACTCCTGAGAGCTCTTCACGTCTCTCAGTGGTACATTTCCTGCTGTCTTTCAAACGCAGGCCATGATGATGTTGGTTACGTCTCTCACGGATGGATTTTAAAATGCTCATTTCTCATCTTTTAGTAAATTAAAAACACTGGAGAAGCACTTGATGTACAATGTGGCAGGAACATAATAATCTGATGCATTTCCTTCCCTCTGGAAGAAAAAAACATCTTATGAACATGAGTTCGGCTGTTGAAATGAAAGCAGCTCTCCGTGTCAGCTTTAACCCATTTGTGTGTACTTGTACCTATACGTTTATTTATTCGACCTCTTTGCTATAGGTGTGTGTGGTCCGGCCATGCTGAGGTAGCAGCAGCCTGAAGGTCAGGATGTCTGATGTAGAAGAGGGGCAGCTGAATGGGAGGAAGAGGGAGATGGCCATCTGTTACATCAGCGATGAAGATGAAGACAACGACGGAGATGATGAGGATGAGCAGATACCTGGTGAGTCACATTGCTCCCAGTATTTTTACCATTTACAGACAAGAGACCAAAAACATTTCCACAGTACTGTATTTAATGTAGTATAGTTACTTTATACAAACAGAAGGCTTTGTTTCCGTTTATGTATCTTACGATGAGCATAAAGCAGAAGTTTCGAAATGCTGCTTGTTCCGCTTTAGTTTAAAAAGCCTGGGGCTACATTTCTAACTGGGCGGACAGTCATGTGATATGCGTTTTCAGTTGAGTCGTATGGATGGAGCTTGTTTCTGATATAAGCTTAAGTGCTGGACAGAAATCAATTTCCTTTACAACAGAATATTGGTATGGATGGAGCATTTCTGTCTGAAACTTACTGTGACGTTGGTTTGAGTATTGATCAGCATAGGGAAACCCCAATACAAATAAATAGATAACTTAAAATACAAAGTTTTATGGGTAAAGAGACAGCTGCTGACACCTTTTGGCCATGATAACATGAATCGTTTTCTTTTTGGTTGTTTACTTCTACTCAGAGAACAATCGATCATTTCCTCATTTTCCAGACATATACAAATGCATGTGCAGACTCTTTTCTTTTTAATGTTGCTGTTGGAACAAACTGAACCACTGTAACGTCCACATATGTGACTAGACCGGCTCAGCAGCTTTTGACCGTTTGTCCTCCCTCAGGAGAGAAAAAAACCCTCCTAAACCTTCTCCTGTCTCCTCCTCCCCCCCATGTCTTCTCTTGCCAGAACATGTTGCATAACCCAATGAATCATCTATTAGTTTTATTAGATGCTGAGTCGTTTGTGTGTGGGGGGAGATGTGTTTCTAGCAGAGGAGTGTGTTTTTGGGTGTAGGAGGTAAGATTTTAAACTTCAGTTGGATAACTGAAGTGGTGTTAGTCTTTCATTGTCTTTGACCTCATTCTGGAGAAAAACGTTGGTGGATTGTTTTTGTGGCTCGTCACTGATGACAGCCGCAGCCAGAGGCGTCCAATTTTCCCGCCTGTCCTTTCCATTTGTGTGAACATGATATCTCAAGAAGCCTTGAAGGAGTTTGGTACAAATTTGTGCAGTGCTGTTCTATACCTGCCTGTTTAGAATGGGCTGTTCTCTTGTCCAGTGTTGATGCTCTGGAGCTACATCAGAATTATTCCTTGTCATTAGTTAATCCTCCTCAAACGGTTCTACAATAGAATGTCACTTTTTATTGTTTGTGTGCTGGACGGTGTGTCCAGAGATTTTCATAAACAGTCCATGGTGCAGATTGTTAGAAAAAAAAGTTAGAAAACGATTTAATAGATTTAATTGTCAAATATTTTTATAAAATGAAACTGAATTTGCTTTATTACTGTTAACGTCTGTGGTCTTTATATATATATATATATATATATATTTGACTGATGTTATTTTTCTTTAATTGGTTTGTATTTCAGAGATCTGTTAAGCAATCAACACAATCTTCAGACCCAAGTTCACAACATTTCAAAAGCTTTTTTAACCTAAGTTTGCAACATTCGTGACATAAGTATAGATTTTCACTTGGACAATAGGAAGAACTGAGTAGATTTTGACGGTCAAAGGTCTCACAACCTCCCAAAATAGTAATTTATACGTTTACCTTCTGAAATTATGAAGTAATGACATTTTATATCCAAAAGGACAAAGGTCGGCTGCAATGTTCTGCACTTTTATTGCCAATATGGATCGTCATTACTCAGAGAAAGGAGAGATCGTGACCGGATTTCCTGCAACTTGACTGTTTGGTGAGAATGCAGGCCGGTAATTCTAGTTAGGATATGAAATGAGAGATGGAGGGAGGCGGGGCAGCACAATCAGAGAGCCCTTTGTTAATCGATCAGATTTCATAGACTTTACAGTAACATTACCTCTGTGCTTTTTTTTTTATCAGATTTTAGACACAGTGATTTAATGGCAGGAACAAAGTTTTCTTTTCTTCTCTTTTCTTTATTAACGCTCTCTGTGTGATCATCTTCTTCTGTTTGTGTGAGAGCTGGATTGAAGTATAGCTGTTGAACTACAGAACATATACTGGCTGTTTGAGAATTAAAACTTGGTTTATGGGTAAATTAGAATTAGATTAGAGTCAGGGTCAGAGGCTCGGTTATGCATAATGTAAATGAAGCGTACCCAGGAGTGTAGAATTACAAATGTATATGTTGTGTTCTTTTTCTTGGTTTATCACTCTGCCATAGTTAGAGGTTACACAAGCACACTATAAAAACGCCCACCCACCCTGCGTACACACACGTTCATGTATTTATGTTTCGCTGTTCTCATCTCTCCTTGTGTTTCTGATTGTCTCTATAACTTTTGGAAATACGAAAGGTTTTATGGCACTGAATTCTTCATCAGTGGTGCCACCCTGGGATTTTGGGCCCAAGGATCTCACACCAATCCTGAAAATACAATTGTGCAAACATGATTTGATGCAAGACTGGTTCTTCCCTGATCTATACCACAACCTTCCACTAAGGGTTTTGGGTGTAACATGCAATGAACCAGTCTGAGTTCCAGCCCAAACAAAACCCACTGCCACCAGATACTAAGTCACCTACAATTCACCTGACTAAACTCAAGACCAATATGCTCATGTGCACTCAGTTGCTTTTTTTGATTTTATTATTTGAATGTTAATATTTAGCTCTAGTTGCATAGTTATTCAAACCTATTTCCTGAAAACTATATGTTTGAAATTCACCTAACAGTGCAGTTCTTCACGCCAGTGGCCAGAAGCATTTAAGCCAGTTCAGTTAAACAAAGAGATGACTCCCAGTCTCAAGAAGATTTGCAGGGGAAGTGACAATGATCTCATCAGTGAAAAAGAGCTTTTTAAAGAAATTGATTTCAAATAAAATTAACTCTGGCCTGACCAAGTACGTCACCAGAGCTGAATCAATCAAAACATCGTTCGTATTTTAAAGCTGAAACACCAAAACCATCCAGCATCACCAGAGTCATTTATTTGAGACTGGTATCCTCAATTTTGAATGGGTCATCAAAATTAGAGCCGGACATTCAAAATATTAAAAAAACACCTTACTAAGGGTGTTCTGACTCTTATGACTCTATTTGAAAAGGCTTATGTATTTACTAAGCTGTATTGTCTTTCTCACCCTGCACACACTGCAGTTAATAGGCATTTATATGCAGAGGAAAAAGAAACGTGTACTTTTTGAGCCACTGTATCAGATTTTGGGGGAAACGTGGTTACATCTGTTTTTCTGTCAGGCACCTAGAGCTGAAAATCAGAGTTTGTTGTCTTGTGGTGAAGGGAGTGAAAGGTCTGAGGGATGATAAAAACACATTTACATGTTGATCTTCATCACAAGTCTATTTTGCTCTTGAGACATCATCACCCCCCACTGTCTCCTGCGTCTATCCCTCCGTCGCCATAACAACCGTCACCAGGATGCCTGCATCCTCCTCTTGGTTCAACACCCCCCTTTTTCTTCTCTTTCTCCTTCATTGATTTATTTTCATCTCCAATCATTTCATCAGAGTTCTTTCTTTCCCTATTTTTATTCCTTCTTCTTTTATTTTATTTAATTTATAATCTTTTTAT